CCGCCATCCGCCGCCATCCTCCTCCTCCATGGCCGCCATCGCCTTCCTCTCCCCTTCCCCTCCCGATCCCCGCCGCCATCGCCGCCATCGCGGCCCCTCCGAGCCCCGATGGCGCCGGATGAAGAAGACGAACCCCAACCACCCATCATGGCGGCGCCGCTTCCCGGCCGCCATCCGCCTCCGCCATCGCCTCCATCCGCCACCATCCTCCTCCCCCATGGCCGCCATCGCCCTCCTCGCCCCTTCCCCTCCCGATCCCCGCCATCCCCGCCGCCATCGAGGGCCGATGGCGCCGGATGAAGACGCCCCGTACACCCGTCATGGCGGCGCCGCTTCCCGGCCGCCATCCGCCATCTCCTCCATCCGCCACCATCCTCCTCCCCCATGGCCGCCATCGTCCTCCTCTGCCCTTCCCCTCCCGATCCCCGCCGCCATCGAGCCCCGATGGCGCCGGATGAAGACGCCCCGACCACCCATCACGGCGGCGGCGCTGAGGGGAGACCGCCGCTTCCCGGCCAGCCATCCGCCTCCATCCGCTGCCATCCTCCTCCATCCTCCTCCGCCATTGCCGCCATCGCCCTCCTCTCCCTTCCCCTCCCGATCCCCGCCGCCATCGAGCCCCGATGGCGCCGGATGAAAGACGCCAAACGCCGACACCTACCATGGCTGCGGCCGGCGGAAGGAAGGGGAGGAAGAAGAAGGCGGAAGCGGATGTGACGTCAGCGCGTTGGGCGGGATGGAGGAGGCCAAGATGGCGGCCGCTGTGGGGCCCGGCCCCCCTGACCCCGAGCTGGAGCTGGGGGGGGAAGAGCTGGTGCTGGAGGCCGTGGATGGGGGGGGGGGGGGGCTATGGGGCGGGGAGGGCGCTATGGGGCGGGGAGGGGGCGCTATGGGGCGGGGGATGCGCTGTGGGGCTGGAGGGATGCTATGGGGTGGGAGATGCGCTGTGGGGTGGGGGGGCGCTATGGGGCGGGGAGGGGGGCGCTATGGGGCGGGAGATGCGCTGTGGGGCCGGGGGGGCGCTATGGGGCGGGGAGGGGGAGCGCTATGGGGCGGGGGATGCGCTGTGGGGCTGGAGGGATAACGCTATGGGGTGGGAGATGCGCTGTGGGGTGGGGGAGGCGCTATGGGGCTGGGGGGGCGCTATGGGGTGGGGGGGAGGCGCTATGGGTTGGGGGGGAGGTGCTATGGTGCTATGGGGCCGGGGGGAGGAGCTATGGGGCGGGGGGGGGGGGGCGCTATGGGGTGGGGAAGGGGTGTGCGCTATGGGGTGGGAGATGCGCTGTGGGGCCGGGGGGGGCGCTGTGGGGTGAGGGATGCGCTATGGGGCTGAAGGAATAACGCTGTGGGGTGGGAGATGCGCTGTGGGGTGGGGGGGAGGCGCTATGGGGCTGAAGGGATAACGCTGTGGGGCTGGAGGGATAACGTTATGGGGCGGGGGATGCGCTATGGGGTGGGAGATGCGCTGTGGGGTTGGGGATGCGCTGTGGGGTGGGGGGGAGGCGCTATGAGGCTGGAGAGATAGGGATATGGGGTGAACGGTGTGGGGCTGGGAGATGCGCTATGGGGCAGGAGGGATAACGCTGTGGGTATAGGGGGAGATGCTATGGGGTTGTAGGCACGCTATGGGGCAGGAGGGATAACACTGGGCCTGGGGACGCGCTGTGGGGCTGGGGGGGGACATACTATGGGGCAGGAGAACATGTTATAAGCACAGACTATGGGGCAGGGAGATGCGCTATAGGGCGGAGGGCACGCTATGGGGCAGGGAGATGTGCTATGGGGCAGTGGGACACGCTATGGGGCCGGGGGGGGTACATTATAAAGGGGAAAAGGGGGGCAGGGACTGTATTGTGGGGGGCACAGGAGCACTTGGGGGGCACAGGGGCACTTGGGGGGCACAGGGGCACTTGGGGGGTGATGTGGGGCAGCTGCCCCCCATGTCACCCCCAAACCTGCCCATGCTGCCCCCCCCCAGTTCACATTCAGGCCAACCTGGAGGATGCTCTGGTGCAGGAGGCCCTGAAGACTGTGAGTGCCCCATAGCGCGGCCCCCCTGCCCCATAGTGTGTGTTTCTCCTGCCCCATAGCGTGTGTTTCTCCTGCCCCATAGCGTGTGTTTATCCTGCCCTATAGCATGTGTTTCTCCTGCCCCATAGCGTTATGTTTCTAATCCCATAGTGTTATTCTTCTAGCCCCATAGCGTTATCTCTTTAGCACCATAGTGCACCCCCCAGCCCCATAGCATCTCCCCAGCCCCATATCATGTCGCCCAGCCCCATAGCGCATCCCCAGCTCCATAGCGCATCCACAGCCCCACAGCGCATCCCCAGCCCCATAGTGCGTCTCTATCCCCATAGCACTTCTCCAGCCCCATACCGCCTCCCCGAGCCCCATAGCGCCTCCCCCAGCCAAATAGCGCCTCCCTCAGCCCCATAGCGCCTCCTCCAGCCCCATAGCACTTCTTCAGCCCCATAGCGCCTCCCCCAGCCCCATAGCGCCTCCCCCAGCCCCATAGCGCCTCCCTCAGCCCCATAGCGCCTCCTCCAGCCCCATAGCACTTCTTCAGCTCCATAGCGCCTCCCCCAGCCCCATAGCGCCTCCCCCAGCCCCATAGCGCCTCCCCAGCTCCATAGCACCTCCCCCAGCCCCATAGCACTTCTCCAGCCCCATAGCACCTCCCCCAGCCCCATATCGCCTCCCCAGCCCCATAGCGCCTCCCCAGCCCCATAGCGCCTCCCCCAGCCCCATAGCATCTCCCCCAGCCCCATAGCGCCTCCCCCAGCCCCATAGCGCCTCCCCAGCCCCATAGCACCTCCCCCAGCCCCATAGCGCATCCCCAGCCCCACAGCTCCTTCCTAGCCCCATAGCACCTCCCCCAGCCCCATAGCACCTCCCTCTGCCCCACAGCACCTCCCCAGCCCCATAGCCCATCCCCAGCCCCATAGCGCAATCCCCCAGTCCCATAGTGCATCCCCAGCCCCACAGCTCCTTCCTAGCCCCATAGCACATCCCCAGCCCCATAGCACCTCCCCCAGCCCCATAGCACTTCTTCAGCCCCATAGTGCCTCCCTCTGCCCCACAGCACATCCCCAGCCCCATAGCACCTCCCCCAGCCCCATAGCACTTCTTCAGCCCCACAGCACCTCCCCCAGCCCCATAGCGCCTTCCCCAGCCCCATAGCGCCTCCCCCAGCCCCACAGCGCATCCCCAGCCCCACAGCACCTCCCCAGCCCCATAGCCCATCCCCAGCCCCATAGCGCAATCCCCCAGTCCCATAGTGCATCCCCAGCCCCACAGCTCCTTCCTAGCCCCATAGCGCCTCCACCAGCCCCATAGCACTCCCCCAGCCCCATAGCACTTCTCCAGCCCCATAGCGCCTCCCCCAGCCCCATAGCCCATCCCCAGCCAGCCCGTAGCACCTCCCCCAGCCCCATAGCACTTCTCCAGTCCCATAGCGCCTCCCCCAGCCCCATAGCACTTCTCCAGCCCCATAGCGCCTCCCCCAGCCCCATATCGCCTCCCCAGCCCCATAGCACTTCTTCAGCCCCATAGCACCTCCCCCAGCCCCATAGCGCCTCCCCAGCCCCATAGCGCCTCCCCAGCCCCATAGCACTTCTTCAGCCCCATAGCGCCTCCCCCAGCCCCATAGCACTTCTTCAGCCCCATAGCGCCTCCCCCAGCCCCATAGCGCCTCCCCCAGCCCCATAGCACCTCCCCCAGCCCCATAGCACTTCTCCAGCCCCACAGCGCCTCCCCCAGCCCCATAGCACTTCTCCAGCCCTACAGCGCCTCCCCAGCCCCATAGCACCTCCCCCAGCCCCATAGCACTTCTCCAGCCCCACAGCGCCTCCCCCAGCCCCATAGCACCTCCCCCAGCCCCATAGCGCATCCCCAGCCCCACAGCCCCTCCCCCAGCCCCATAGCACCTCCCCCAGCCCCATAGCACTTCTCCAGCCCCATAGTGCCTCCCCCAGCCCCATAGCACCTCCCCAGCCCCATAGCCCATCCCCAGCCCCATAGTGCCTCCCCAGCTCCATAGCACCTCCCCCAGCCCCATAGCACTTCTCCAGCCCCATAGCACCTCCCCCAGCCCCATATCGCCTCCCCCAGCCCCATAGCGCCTCCCCAGCCCCACAGCGCCTCCCCAGCCCCATAGCCCATCCCCAGCCCCATAGCGCCTCCCCAGCCCCACACTCCCCCCCCAGGGCGTGGATCTCCGTCAGTACTCCAAGCAGGTGGAGCTGGAGCTGCAGGAGGTGGAGCGCGCCTCCATCCGCGACTGTATCCGGGCATGGGGGGCCCCCCAAGTGCCCCCCAAGTGCCCCATGGGTGCCCCATGGGTGCCCCACAGGTGCCTCTTGGGTGCCCCCTGAGTGCCCCCCAAGTGCCCCTTTGGGTGCCCCCCAAGTGCCCTATGGGTGCCCTTTGGGTGCCCCCCAAGTGCCCCATGGGTGCCCCACAGGTGCCTCTTGGGTGCCCCTTTGGTGTCCCTTGGGTACCCCCTGAGTGCCCCCCAAGTGCCCCTTTGGGTGCCCCCCAAGTGCCCTATGGGTGCCCTTTGGGTGCCCCCCAAGTGCCCTATGGGTGCCCTTTGGGTGCCCCCCAAGTGCCCCATGGGTGCCCCACAGGTGCCTCTTGGGTGCCCCTTTGGTGCCCTATGGGTGCCCCCTGAATGCCCCCCAAGTGCCCTATGGGTGCCCTATGGGTGCCACCTGAGTGCCCCCCAAGTGCCCCTTTGGGTGCCCTTTGGGTGCCCCCCAAGTGCCCCATGGGTGCCCCACAGGTGCCTCTTGGGTGCCCTATGGGTGCCCCCTGAGTGCCCCCCAAGTGCCCCTTTGGGTGCCCCCTGGGTGTCCTTTGGGTGCCCCCCAAGTGCCCTATGGGTGCCCTTTGGGTGCCCCCCAAGTGCCCCATGGGTGCCCCACAGGTGCCTCTTGGGTGCCCCTTTGGTGTCCCTTGGGTACCCCCTGAGTGCCCCCCAAGTGCTCCTTTGGGTGCCCCCTGGGTGTCCTTTGGGTGCCCCCTGAGTGCTCCTTGGGTGCCCTATGGGTGCCCCCTGAGTGCCCCCCAAGTGCCCCATGGGTGCCCCACAGGTGCCTCTTGGGTGCCCCCTGAATGCCCCCCAAGTGCCCTATGGGTGCCCTTTGGGTGCCACCTGGGTGCACCCTGAGTGCTCCTTGGGTGCCCTTTGGGTGCCCTATCGGTGCCCCCTGAGTGCCCCCTAAGTGCCCCTTTGGGTGCCCTATGGGTGCCCTTTGGGTGCCACCTGGGTGCACCCTGAGTGCTCCTTGGGTGCCCTTTGGGTGCCCTATCGGTGCCCCCTGAGTGCCCCCTAAGTGCCCCTTTGGGTGCCCTTCGGGTTCCCTTTGGGTGCCCCCTTGGTGTCCTTTGGGTGCCCCTTGGGTGCCCTTCGGGTGTCCTTTGGGTGCCCCCTTGGTGCCCTTGGGTGCCCTTGGGTGCCCCTTTGGGTGCCCCTTGGGTGCCCTTCGGGTGCCCTTTGGGTGCCCTTGGGTGCCCCTTTGGGTGCCCCTTGGGTGGTCCTTGGGTGCCCCTTTGGGTGCCCTTTGGGTGTCCTTTGGGTGCCCTTGATGCCCTTTGGGTGCCCCTTGGGTGCCCCTTTGGGTGCTCTATGGGTACCCAATGGGTGCTCCTTGGGTGCCCCTTTGGGTGCCCTTGATGCTCTTTGGGTGTCCTTTGGGCGCCCTGTGGGTGCCCATTGAATGCCCCTTTGGGTGCCCATTGGATGCCGCCTGGATGCCCCTTTGGGTGCTCTATGGGTACCCAATGGGTGCCCTATGGGTGCCCCCCACGTCCCCGTTGCCCCTTAACTCCTTGGTGGACATCAAAGAGAGCGAGAACATCGCGGCGCTGCACAACCAGATCACGGCGTGCGATGCCATCCTGGAGGTGAGCGCAGTTGGCACCCATGGGCGCCCATTGACACCCATTGACACCCATTGACACCCATTGATAGCCATTGACACCCATTGACATTCATTGACACCCACTGATGCCCATTGACACCCACTGACAGCCGTTGACTTTCATTGACACCCATTGATACTCATTGACACCTGTTGACATCCGTTGACACCCATTGACACCCGTTGACACCCGTTGACACCCATTGATTTCCATTGGCGCCTATTGACACCCGTTGACATCCATTGACGCCCATTGGCTCCCATTGACACCCACTGATACCCATGGACACCTATTGTCATCCATTGACACCCATGGATACCCATTGACAGCCATTGACACCCATTGATACCCATTGACATCCATTGACACCCATTGACATCCACTGATGCCTGTTGACACCCATTGAGAGCCACTGACATCCATTGACACCCATGGACACCCATTAACACACATTGATACCCATTGACGCCCGTTGGCTCCCGTTGACACCTATTGACACCCATTGACACCCATTGATACCCATTGACACCCACTGACACCCATTGTTGCCCATTGGCACCCATTGGCACCGACTGCCACCCACTAACGCTCACTGACATCTGTTGTCATCCGTTGATACCCATTGTTGCTGTTTGTCACCCATTGGTACCCATTGACACCTGTTAATAGCCATTGACACCCATTGTTATCCTTTGTCACCCGTTGATGCCCATTGAGACCCATGGACACCCATCGATGCCCATTGACACCCATTGATAGCCATTGAAGCTCATTGAGACCCATTGACACCCGTTGACGTCCATTGACACCCGTTGACGCCCATTGACACCCGTTGAGAGCCATTGACACCCATTGATACCCATTGACACCCATTGTTACCCATTGACATCCATTGACACCCATTGATACCCATGGACACCCATTGACACACACTGATACCTATTGACACCCGTTGACATCTGTTGTCTCCCATTGAGAGCTATTGCCACCCACTGACATCCATTGATACCCATTGACACCCGTTGACATCCATTGACACCCGTTGACATCCATTGACGCCCATCGACACCGACACCCATTGATATCCACTGACACCTATTGACTTTTGTTGACACCCATTGATATCCATTGACACCTATTGACTTCTGTTGACATCCATTGACACCCGTTGACACGCGTTGACACCCATTGAGAGCCATTGACATCCATTGACACCCGTTGACGCGCGTTGACGCCCATTGACATCCATTGACGCCCATTGGCTCCCATTGACGCCCATTGGCTCCCATTGACACCCATTGACTTCCATTGACACCCGTTGACATCCACTGACACCCATTGACCCCCATTCCCCCCCCTCACGCTCTCCCCGCCCTCCCCAGCGCATGGAGCAGATGCTGGGCTCCTTCCAGAGCGACCTGAGCAGCATCAGCTCCGAGATCCGGACCCTGCAGGAGCAGTCGGTGGCCATGAACCTGCGGCTCCGCAACCGCCGCCTCGTGCGCCTCCACCTGGGACAGCTCCTCGAGGAGCTCGTGGTGCCCGGCGCCATGATCAGGTTGGGGGGGGGGGGGGTGACACCCATTGGGTCATGGGGTGGGGTGGGATGGGCTGGAGGAGCCTTCGAGGTCAACGAGAAGTTGGTGGAATCCATAGGGTCTTGGGATGGGTTGGGTTGGGTTGGAGATGTCTACAAGGTCAGCTAGAACTTGGTGTTACCTATAGGGTCTTGGAATGGGTTGGAGATGTCTTCAAGGTCAACTAGAACTTGGATTCACCCGTAGGGTCTTGGGATGGGTTGGGTTGGAGATGTCTTCAAGGTCAACTAGAACTTGGATTCACCCGTAGGGTCTTGGGATGGGTTGGGTTGGAGATGTCTTCAAGGTCAACTAGAAGTTGGTGTTACCCATAGGGTCTTGGGATGGGTTGGAGATGTCTTCAAGGTCAACTAGAACTTGGTCTTACCCATAGGGTCTTGGGATGGGTTGGGTTGGAGATGTCTTCAAGGTCAACTAGAACTTGGTTTCACCCATAGGGTCTTGGGATGGGTTGGGTTGGAGGAGCCTTCAAGACCTTCTAGAGCCTGGTGTCATCCATTGGGTCATGGGATGGGTTGGGATGGGGTGGAGGAGTCTTTGAGGTCATCTAGGGCTTGGTGACATCCATAGGGTCTTGGGATAAGTTGGGTTGGAGATGTCTTCAAGACCTTCTAGAGCCTGGTGTCATCCACTGGGTCTTGGGATGGGTTGGGTTGGAGATGTCTTCAAGGTCAACTAGAACTTGGTTTCACCCATAGGGTCTTGGGATGGGTTGGGTTGGAGATGTCTTCAAGGTCAACTAGAACTTGGTTTCACCCATAGGGTCTTGGGATGGGTTGGGTTGGAAGAGCCTTTGAGGTCATCTAGGGCCTGGTGGCATCCAAGACCTTGATGGTCTCCATGATCCAGCCCAACCCAATCCCATGATCCAAGGATGACCCCAAGGTTCCTTTCACCCCATTCCATGACCATGGAAGACCCCAAATCCCTTCTTCCATCTCATGGCCCCTTCTTGCAAGCCAAGACCTCGATGGTCTCCATGATCCAACCCAACCCAACCCCAATCCCATGATCCAAGGATGACCCCAAAGTTCCTTTCACCCCATTCCATGACCATTGAAGACCCCAAATCCCTTCTTCCATCCTCTGGGTCTTTGTTTCAAGCCAAGACCTCGATGGTCTCCATGATCCAACCCAACCCAACCCCAATCCCATGACCCTAGGGTCGAAACCAGCTCCTGGATGACCCCGAAGGCCCTTCATCCCACCCCATTCCATGATTCCATGACCATGGAAGACCCCAGATCCCTTCTTCCATCCTCTGGGTCTTTGTTTCAAGCCAAGACCTTGATGGTTTTCATGATCCAACCCAACCCAACCCCAATCCATAACTCTGGATGACCCCAAGGTTCCTTTCACCCCATTCCATGACCATTGAAGACCCCAAATCCCTTCTTCCATCCTCTGGGTCTTTGTTTCAAGCCAAGACCTTGATGGTCTCCATGATCCAGCCCAACCCAATCCCATGATCCAAGGATGACCCCAAAGTTCCTTTCACCCCATTCCATGACCATGGAAGACCCCAAATCCCTTCTTCCATCCTCTGGGTCTTTGTTTCTAAGCCAAGACCTCGATGGTCTCCACGATCCAACCCAATCCCACCGCCAACAACCCTAGACCCATAACCAACTCCCCGATGATCCCATCCCTCCACCCGTTCCTATCCCCGCTCAGCACCATCCTGGACGCGCCGGTGACGGAGCCGGCCTTCCTGGAGCAGCTGCAGGAACTCAATGGCAAGATCAACTCCGTCAAGGAGCAAGCGTTCCGCGACACCGTGGCCTGCGCCGACGTCCAACACGTCCTCGAGAAGCTCAAGATCAAGGTTGACCCCCAACCGTTAGCACCCACAGCAGACCCATAAGTGACCCATAGCACCCAATGGACCCCCAAAATCCCTCTTTTCTCCCCCCCCCCAAAAAAAGGCCGTCACCAAGATCCGCGAGTTCATCCTCCAGAAGATCTACTCCTTCCGCAAGCCCATGACCAACTACCAGATCCCACAGAACACGCTCCTCAAGTATAGGTGTGGGGCGCGGGCTCTATGGGGCTTCCAATGGGATCCATGGGGGGCGACGGGGGAGATGTGGGGCTGGGACGATCCCTGACGTCGCCATGGCCGTGGGTAGGTTCTTCTACCAGTTCCTGGTGGGGCACGAGCGGGCCGTGGCGCAGGAGTTGCGCGAGCAGTACGTGGACACCATGGGCAAGGTCTACCTGTCCTACTTCAAGTCCTACACCAGCCGCCTCATGAAGATCCAGGTGGGTTATGGGGCGAGATGTGGGGTTTGATTGGGGGTTTTGGGGTGGTTTGAGGGGGTTTTGGGGTTCTGGAGGTGGTTTTCAGGGGGTTTGGGGTGGTTCTGGGGTGCTGGAGGTGGGTTTGGGGTGGGTTTGGGGTTCTGGAGGTGGTTTGGGGTTGATTTGGGGGTTCTGGAGGTGGTTTTCAGGGGGCTGGAGGTGGCTTTGGGGTGGTTTTGGGGTTCTGGAGGTGGTTTTGGGGTGCTTCTGGGCTGGTTTTGGGGTGGTTTTGGCTGGTTTGGGGTGGTTTTGGTTGGGTTTGGGGTGGTTGTGGGTGGTTTTGGTTTTGTGGTGGTTTTGGGTGGTTTTGTGGTGGGTTTGGGTGGTTTTGGGCAGGTTTTGGGGTGGTTTTGGTTGGGTTTCTGGTGTTTGTGGGTGGTTTTGGTGTGGTTTTGGGTGGGTTTGTGGTGGGTTTGGGTGGTTTTGGGCAGGTTTTGGGTGGTTTTGGGGTGGTTTTGGAGTGGTTTTGGGCAGGTTTTGGGGTGGTTTTGGACAGGTTTTGGGGTGGTTTTGGGTGATTTTAGGCTGGTTTGGGGTGGTTTTGGCTGGTTTGGGGTGGTTTTGGGCAGGTTTTGGGGTGGTTTTGGGTGATTTTAGGCTGGTTTTGGGGTGGTTTTAGGCTGGTTTTGGGGTGGTTTTGGTTGGGTTTGTGGTGGTTGGGGGTGGTTTTGGTTTTGGGGTGGTTTTGGGTGATTTTAGGCTGGTTTGGGTGCTTTTGGGTGGTTTTAATCGGTTTTGGGTTGGTTTTGGGTGGTTTGTGGTGTTTTGTGGTAGTTTTGGGGTGGTTTTGGCTTTTTTTGGGTGTTTTTCGGTGGTTTTGTTTGGTTTGGGGCTGTTTTGGGGTGGTTTTTGGTGGTTTTGGGTGTGTTTGGGTGTTTTGGGGCTGGTTTTGGGTGGTTTTGTTTTGGGGTGTTTTGGGGTGGTTTTGGGTGGTTTTGGGGTGGTTTTGGTTGGTTTGGGGGTAGTTTTGGGGTGTTTTTGGGGTGTTTTTGGGGTGTTTTTGTGTCACTGAGCCCTGTTCCCGCAGTACGAGGAGGTGGCCGACAAGGACGATCTCATGGGCGTGGAGGACACGGCCAAGAAAGGTTGATTTGAGCCATTTTTGGGTCGATTTGTGGCATTTTTTTGTCGATTTTTGGTTTTCTGAGTCGATTTTGGGCAATTTTGGGTCGATTTTGCATTATTTTGGGTCGATTTTGGGCTATTTTGGGTTGATTTGAGCCATTTTGGGGTTGATTTTGGGTATTTTGTATTTATTTGAGTCATTTTTAGGTCCATTTTGGGGTCGATTTTGCATTATTTTGGGTCGACTTTGGGCTACTTTGGGTCGATTTGGGTCTATTTGCTCGATTTGGGCTATTTTGGGTTGATTTGAGCTATTTTTGGGTCGATTTTGGGTATTTTGGATTAATTTGAGCCATTTTTGGGTCGATTTTGGGCATTTTGGGGTTGATTTCGGGGTATTTTGGGTTGACTCCGGGCTATTTTGGGTCGATTTTGGGTGATTTTGGGTCGATTTTGGGCATTTTGGGGTCATTTTGGGCATTTTGGGGTCGATTTGGGGGTATTTTGGGTCGATTTTGGGGTATTTTGGGCCGATTTGGTCCGTTCTGGGTGTATTTTGGGTGTATTTGGTCCGATTTTGGTGCTGAAGCCCTGTCTGTGGGGCAGGGTTCTTCTCGAAGGCGCCGCTGCGCTGCCGGAACACCGTCTTCACCCTGGGCAACCGCGGCTCCGTCATCGGCGCCGCCGAGCTCGAGGCGCCCATCCTGGTCCCGCACGCGGCCCAGAGGAGCGACACCAGGGTCAGCAATGGGGCGGCTATGGGGCAGCTATGGGGCAGCAATGGGGGGCAATGGGGAGGCAATGGGGGGGCTATGGGGCAGCAATGGGGGGCAATGGGGAGGCAATGGGAGGCAATAGGGGGCAATGGGGCAGCAATGGGGGGCAATGGGGAGGCAATGGGGCTCAGAAGTGGTGTTTTTGGTGCCGGAAGCTCATTTTTGGGCTCAGAAGTGGTGTTTTTGGCGCCGGAAGCTCATTTTTTGGCTCAGAAGTGGTGTTTTTGGTGCCGGAAGCTCATTTTTGGGCTCAGAAATGGCGTTTTTGGTGCCGGAAGCTCATTTTTGGGCTCAGAAATGGCGTTTTTGGTGCCGGAAGCTCATTTTTGGGCTCAGAAATGGTGTTTTTGGTGCCGGAAGCTCATTTTAGGTCTCAGAAGTGGTGTTTTTGGTGCCGGAAGCTCATTTTTGGGCTTAGAAATGGTGTTTTTGTTGCCGGAAGCTCATTTTTGGGCTCAGAAATGGTGTTTTTGGTGCCGGAAGCTCATTTTTGGGCTCAGAAGTGGCGTTTTTGGCGCCGGAAGCTCATTTTTGGGCTCAGAAATGGCGTTTTTGGTGCAGGAAGCTCATTTTTGGGCTGAGAAATGGTGTTTTTGGTGCCGGAAGCTCATTTTGGGGCTCAGAAGTGGTGTTTTTGGTGCCAGAAGGTTGGTTTTTGGGCTCAGAAATGGTGTTTTTGGTGCCGGAAGCTCATTTTTGGGCTCAGAAATGGTGTTTTTGGCGCCGGAAGGTCATTTTTGGGCTCAGAAGTGGCGTTTTTGGCGCCGGAAGCTCATTTTTGGGCTCAGAAATGGCGTTTTTGGCGCCGGAAGCTCATTTTTGGGCTCAGAAATTGTGTTTTTGGCGCCGGAAGCTCATTTTTGGGCTCAGAAATGGTGTTTTTGGTGCCGGAAGGTCATTTTTGGGCTCAGAAGTGGCGTTTGTGGTGCCGGAAGGTCATTTTTGGGCTCAGAAGTGGTGTTTTTGGTGCCGGAAGCTCATTTTTGGGCTCAGAAGTGGCGCTTTTGTTGCCGGAAGGTCATTTTTGGGCCCAGAAGTGGTGTTTTTGGTGCCGGAAGCTCATTTTTGGGCTCAGAAATGGCGTTTTTGGTGCCGGAAGCTGATTTTTGGGCTCAGAAGTGGTGCTTTTGGTGCCGGAAGCTCATTTTTGGGCTCAGAAGTGGTGTTTTTGGTGCCGTAAGCTCATTTTTGGGCTCAGAAGTGGTGTTTTTGGTGCCGTAAGCTCATTTTTGGGCTCAGAAGTGGTGGTTTTGGTGCCGGAAGCTCATTTTTGGGCTCAGAAATGGTGTTTTTGTTGCCGGAAGCTCATTTTGGGTCTCAGAAGTGGCGTTTTTGGTGCTGGAAGCTCATTTTTGGGCTCAGAAATGGTTTTTTTGGCGCCGGAAGCTCATTTTTGGGCTCAGAAGTGGTGGTTTTCGCGCCAGAAGCTCATTTTTTGGGTCAGAAATGGTGTTTTCGGCGCCGGAAGCTCATTTTTGGGCTCAGAAATGGCGTTTTTGGCGCCGGAAGGTCATTTTTGGGCTCAGAAGTGGTGTTTTTGGTGCCAGAAGCTCATTTTTGAGCTCAGAAACGGTGTTTTTGGTGCCGGAAGGTCATTTTTGGGCTCAGAAATGGCGTTTTTGGTGCCGGAAGGTCATTTTTGGGCTCAGAAATGGTGTTTTTGGTGCCGGAAGGTCATTTTTGAGCTCAGAAACGGTGTTTTTGGTGCCGGAAGGTCATTTTTGGGCTCAGAAACGGCGTTTTTGGTGCCGGAAGGTCATTTTTGGGCTCAGAAATGGCGTTTTTGGTGCCGGAAGCTCATTTTTGGGCTCAGAAATGGCGTTTTTGGTGCCGGAAGCTCATTTTTGGGCTCAGAAATGGCGTTTTTGGTGCCGGAAGCTCATTTTTGTGCTCAGAAATGGTGTTTTTGGTGCCGGAAGGTCATTTTTGGGCTCAGAAGTGGTGTTTTTGGCACCGGAAGGTCAATTTTGGGCTCAGAAATGGTGTTTGTGGTGCCGGAAGGTCATTTTTGGGATCAGAAATGGTGTTTTTGGCGCCGGAAGGTCATTTTTGGGCTCAGAAACGGTGTTTTTGGTGCCGGAAGCTCATTTCTGGGCTCAGAAATGGCGTTTTTGGTGCCGGAAGCTCATTTTTGGACTCAAAAATGGTGTTTTTGGTGCCGGAAGCTCATTTTTGGGCTCAGAAATGGTGTTTTTGGTGCCGGAAGCTCATTTTTGGGCTCAGAAATGGTGTTTTTGGGGGCCGGAAGCTCATTTTTGGGCTGAGAAATGGTGTTTTTGGTGCCGGAAGCTCATTTTTGGGCTCAGAAATGGTGTTTTTGGTGCCGGAAGCTCATTTTTGGGCTGAGAAATGGTGTTTTTGGTGCCGGAAGGTCATTTTTGGGCTCAGAAATGGCGTTTTTGGCGCCGGAAGCTCATTTTTGGGCTCAGAAATGGTGTTTTTGGTGCCGGAAGGTCATTTTTGGGCTCAGAAGTGGTGTTTTGGGGGGCCGGAAGGTCATTTTTGGGCTCAGAAATGGTGTTTTTGGCGCCGGAAGCTCATTTCTGGGCTCAGAAATTGTGTTTTTGGTGCTGGAAGCTCATTTTTGGGCTCAGAAATGGTGTTTTTGGTGCCGGAAGCTCATTTTTGGGCTCAGAAACGGTGTTTTTGGTGCCGGAAGCTCATTTTTGGGCTCAGAAACGGTGTTTTTGGTGCCGGAAGCTCATTTTTGGGCTCAGAAACGGTGTTTTTGGGGCAGTACCCCTTCGAGGCCCTGTTCCGCTCCCAGCACTTTGCTCTCCTGGACAATTCCTGCCGGGAATTCCTTTTCCTCTGCGACTTCTTCCTGGTGACGGGCGCCGGCGCCCAGGAGCTCTTCAACAGCGTCATGGGCCGCACGCTCGCCATGTTCCTGGTGGGTGCTATGGGGCTGTGGGGCACAATGATCCGCTATGGGGGCTGTGGGTCACAATGCTCTCCTATGGGGGGCTGTGGGGGCTATGTGTCCCTGTGTTCTCCTATGGGGGCTATGGGTCCCAATGCTCCCCTATGGGGGCTATGGGTCCCAGTGTTCTCCCATGGGGGCTATGGGTCACAGTGCTCTCCTATGGGGTTTGGGGGCTATGGGTCCCAATGTTCCTCTATGGGGGCTATGGGTCCCAATGCTCCTCTATGGGGGCTATGTGGGCTATGGGGGCTATGGGTCCTAATGCTCCTCTATGGGGGCTATGGGTCCCTATCCTCCTCTATGGAGGCTATGGGTCCCAATGCTCCCCTATGGGGGCTATGGGTCGCAATGCTCCCCTATGGGGGCTATGGGTCCCAATGCTCCCCTATGGGGGCTATGGGTCCCAATGCATTCCTATGGGGGCTGTGGATCCTAATGCTCCCCTATGGGGGCTATGGGTCCCAATGCACCTCTATGGGGGCTATGGGTCCCAATGCTCCCCTATGGGGGCTATGGGTCCTAATGCTCTCCTATGGGGGCCATGGGTCCCTATTCTCCTCTATGGAGGCTATGGGTCCCAATGCTCCTCTATGGGGGCTATGGGTCCCTGTCCTCCTCTATGGAGGCTATGGGTCCCAATGCTCCCCTATGGGGGCTATGGGTCCCAATGCTCCCCTATGGGGGCTGTGGGTCCCAATGCTCCCCTATGGGGGCTATGGGTCGCAATGCTCCCCTATGGGGGCTATGGGGGCTATGGGTCCCAATGCCCCCCTATGGGTCCTGCAGAAGCACATGGACACCTACGTGAGCGCCTGCTACGACGCCATCGCCGTGTTCCTGTGCATCCACATCGTGCTCCGGTTCCGCGCCATCATGGCCAAGAGGAACGTGCCGGCCGCGGACAGGTCCGGGCCCCACATCTATGGGGCTGACCCATGGATCTATAGGGAATGACCCCCATCCATGGGGTGCGAGCCATGGATCCATAGGGAATGACCCATGGATCTATAGGGCACAACCCCCGGTCCATAGAAAATGACCCATGGATCCATAGGGAAGGACCCCCATCTATAGGGAATGACGCCCATGCATAGGGAATGACCCCAATCCATAGGGAATGGCCCCCATCCATGGGGCACGACCCATGGATCCGTAGGGAATGACCCATGGATCTATAGGGCACAACCCTCGGTCCATAGAAAATGACCCATGGATCCATAGGGAAGGACCCCCATCTATAGCGAATGACCCGCATCCATAGGGCACGACCCATGGATCCATAGGGAGTGACCCCCACATCTATGGGGCACAAGCCATGGATCCATAGGGAATGACCCCAATCCATAGGGAATGACCCCTATCCATAGGGCACCACCCATGGATCCATAGGGAATGACCCGTGGATCTATATGGCACGACCCACGGATCCATAGGGAATGACCCCCATCCATAGGGAATGACCCCCATCCATAGGGAATGACCCCAATCCATAGGGAATGACCCCCATCCATGGGGCGCGAGCCATGGATCCATAGGGAATGACCCCCATCCATGGGGCGCGAGCCATGGAGCCATAGGGAATGACCCATGGATCTATAGGGCACAACCCCCGGTCCATAGGGAATGACCCATGGATCCATAGGGAATGACCCCCATCCTTAGGGAATGACCCCCAGTCCATAGGGAATGACCCATGGATCTATAGGGCACGACCCACAGTCCATAGGGAATGACCCGTGGATCCATAGGGAATGACCCATGGATCTATAGGGCACAACCCCCGGTCCATAGGGAATGACCCATGGATCCATAGGGAATGACCCCCATCCATAGCGAATGACCCATGGATCTATAGGGCACGACCCCCGGTCCATAGGGAATGACCCATGGATCCATAGGGAGTGATCCCCATCCATAGGGCACCACCCATGGATCTATAGGGAATGACCCATGGATCTATAGGGCACGCCCCATGGATCCATAGGGAACGGCCCCATTCCCCCCCCCAGGTACTGGGATGCGCTCCTGGAGCTGCTGTGGCCCCGCTTCGAGCTCCTGCTGGAGCTGCACATCCAGAGCATCCGCAGCGCCGACCCCCAGCGCCTCGGCGGCCTGGAGACCCGGCCCCACTACGTGAGCGGCCCCGAAAACACCTCTTTTCACCCCAAAAAACGCTTTATCGACCCCAAAAACCTCCTTATCGACCCAAAAAACCTCTTTATCGACCCAAAAACACCCTTTTTCACCCCAAAAAACGCTTTATCCACCCCAAAAACCTCCTTATCGACCCAAAAACACCCCTTTTCACCCCAAAAAACGCTTTATCCACCCCAAAAACCTCCTTATCGACCCAAAAAACCTCTTTACCGACCCAAAAACACCCCTTTTCACCCCAAAAAAGGCTTTATCCACCCCAAAAACACCCCTTTTCACCCCAAAAAACCCTTTATCGACCCCCAAAACACCCCTTATCACCCCAAAAACCTCTTTATCGACCCCCAAAACCCCCTTATCGACCCGAAAAACCTCTTTATCGACCCAAAAACACCACTTTTCACCCCAAAAAACCTCTTTATCGACCCCAAAGCACCCCTTTTCACCCCCAAAAACCCTTTATCCACCCAAAAACACCCCTTTTCACCCCAAAAAACGCTTTATCGACCCCAAAAACCCCCTTATCGACCCGAAAAACCTCTTTATCGACCCAAAAACACCCCTTTTCACCCCAAAAAAGGCTTTATCCACCCCAAAAACACCCCTTTTCACCCCCAAAAACGCTTTATCCACCCAAAAACACCCCTTTTCACCCCAAAAAACGCTTTATCGACCCAAAGCCACCCCTTTTCACCCCAAAAAAACCTTTATCGACCCAAAACCACCCCTTTTCACCCCAAAAAACGCTTTATCCACCCAAAAACACCCCTTTTCACCCCAAAAAACCCTTTATCGACCCAAAACCACCCCTTTTCACCCCAAAAAACGCTTTACCGACCCAAAAACACCCCTTTTCACCCCAGAAAACCTCTTTATCGACACCAAAACACCCCTTTTCACCCCAAAAAATGCTTTATCCACCCCAAAAACACCCCTTTTCACCCCAAAAAATGCTTTATCCACCCAAAAACACCCCTTATCACCCCAAAAACCTCTTTATCGACCCAAAAACACCCCTTTTCGCCCCAAAAAACGCTTTATCGACCCAAAAACACCCCTTTTCACCCCAAAAAACGCTTTATCGACCCAAAAACACCCCTTTTCACCCCAAAAACCTCTTTATCGACCCAAAAACACCCCTTTTCACCCCAAAAACCTCTTTATCCACCCAAAAACACCCCTTTTCACCCCAAAAACCTCTTTATCGACCCAAAAACACCCCTTTTCACCCCAAAAAACCCTTTATCGACCCCAAAACACCCCTTTTCACCCCAAAAAACGCTTTATCGACTCCAAAAACACCCCTTTTCACCCCAAAAACCTCTTTATCGACCCAAAAAACACCCCTTTTCACCCCCAGAAACACTTTACCGACCCAAAACACCCCTTTTCACCCCAAAAAAACCTTTATCCACCCAAAAACACCCTTATCGACCCAAAAAACCTCTTTATCGACCCCAAAACACCCATTTTCACCCCAAAAAACGCTTTATCCACCCAAAAACACCCCTTTTCACCCCAAAAACCTCTTTATCGACCCAAAAACACCCCTTTTCACCCCAAAAAACGCTTTATCGACCCAAAAACACCCCTTTTCACCCCAAAAAACGCTTTATCGACCCAAAAACACCCCTTTTCACCCCAAAAACCTCTTTATCGACCCAAAAACACCCCTTTTCACCCCAAAAACCTCTTTATCGACCCAAAAACACCCCTTTTCACCCCAAAAAACGCTTTATCCACCCCAAAAACACCCCTTTTCACCCCAAAAAACCCTTTATCGACCCAAAACCACCCCTTTTCACCCCAAAAAACGCTTTACCGACCCAAAAACACCCCTTTTCACCCCAAAAAACCCTTTATCGACCCAAAAACACCCCTTTTCACCCCCAAAAACCTCTTTATCCACCCCAAAACACCCCTTTTCACCCCAAAAAACGCTTTATCGACCCAAAAAACCTCTTTATCGACCCAAAAACACCCCTTTTCACCCCAAAAAACGCATTATCGACCCAAAACCACCCCTTTTCACCCCCAAAACCTCTTTATCAACCCCAAAACACCCCTTTTCACCCCAAAAAAGCTTTACCGACCCCAAAACATGCCTTTTCACCCCAAAAAACGCTTTACCGACCCAAAAACCCCCTTATCGACCCAAAAACCCCCCTTTTCACCCAAACCCCCCGTTTTTCCCCCTTTTCTCCCCTTTACTGACCCCAAACCCCCGTTTTTCACGCCAAAACCGCCGTTTTTTCCCCCCAAAACGCCATTTTTTCCCCCCGTTTTCCCCTCTCTGACCCAAAACCCCCCTTTACTGACCCAAAACCCCCATTTTTCACCCCAAAACCCCCCTTTTTCCTCCCAAACCCCTTTACTGACCCCAAACCCCCGTTTTTCACCCTTTATCGAAAAAAACCCCTTTTTTTTTGACCCCAAAAAACGCACCCCAAAACCCCCTTTACTGACCCAAAACCCCCGTTTTTCACCCCAAAACCCCCCTTTTTCACCCAAACCCCTTTACTGACCCCAAACCCCCCTTTTTCACCCCAAACCCCCGTTTTTCACCCAAAACCCCGTTTTTCACCCCAAAACCCCCGTTTTTCACCCCAAAATGTCCCCCCTAGGAGATGCTGAAACGAGGTGCCACGCTCACCTACCCCCTCCCTGTTCCCAAAACCCCCGTTTTTCACCCCAAACCCCCGTTTTTCACCCCAAAACCCCGTTTTTCACCCCAAAACCCCGTTTTTCACCCCAAAACCCCGTTTTTCACCCCAAACCCCCGTTTTTCCCCCCAAAACCCCCGTTTTTCCCCCAAAACCTTTTACACCCCCCCATAGGAGATCACCCCAAAACCCCCGTTTTTCTCCCCCAAAACCCCCCTTTTTCACCCCAAAACCCCCTTTTTTCCCCCTCCCCCTTTACTGACCCAAAACCCCCGTTTTTCACCCCAAAACCCCGTTTTTCACCCCAAAACCCCGTTTTTCACCCCAAACCCCGTTTTTCACCCCAAACCCCCGTTTTTCACCCCAAAACCCCCGTTTTTCCCCCAAACCCCTTTATGGGATGTCCCTCTCCCCAAAACCCCCGATTTTCACCCCAAAACCCCCTTTTTCGCCCGCTTACCTTTTCCCCCAAAACCCCCCTTTTTCCTCCCAAACCCCTTTACTGACCCAAAACCCCCCTTTTTCACCCCAAAACCCCCTTTTCCCCCCTCTCGGACCCAAAACCCCCGTTTTTCACCCCAAAACCCCGTTTCTCACCCCAAAACCCCCCTTTTCCCCCCCTTTTCCCCCTTTACTGACCCAAAACCCCCGTTTTTCACCCCAAAACCCCCTTTTTCACCCCAAACCCACATCCATTAACCCAAAAACCCCCTTTTTCACCCCAAACCCCCGTTTTTCCCCCCAAAACCCCCTTTTCTCCCTTTTACTGACGCAAAACCCCCATTTTTCACCCCAAAACCCCCCTTTTCCCCCCAACCCCCCGTTTTCCCCCCAAAACCCCCCTTTTTCCCCCTCTCTGACCCAAAACCCCCCTTTTTCCCTCTCTCTGACCCAAAACCCCCGTTTTTCCCCCCAAAACCCCCGTTTTTCACCCCAAAACCCCCGTTTTTCACCCCAAAACCCCCGTTTTTCACCCCAAAACCCCGTTTTTCACCCCAAACCCCCGTTTTTCACCCCAAAACCCCGTTTTTCACCCCAAAACCCCGTTTTTCACCCCAAAACCCCCGTTTTTCACCCCAAAACCCCGTTTTTCACCCCAAAACCCCGTTTTTCACCCCAAAACCCCGTTTTTCCCCATGCTCATTATGGGATGTCCCATAGGAGATGCTGAAGGACGAGGTGCGCACGCTCACCTACCGGAACTCCCTGTTCCAAAACCCCCGTTTTTCACCCCAAAACCCCGTTTTTCACCCCAAAACCCCCGTTTTTCACCCCAAAACCCCCGTTTTTCACCCCAAAACCCCCGTTTTTCACCCCAAAACCCCGTTTTTCACCCCAAAACCCCCGTTTTTCACCCCAAAACCATTATGGGATGTCTCTCTCCCCCGTTTTTGCCCCAAAACCCCGCACACCCCAACCCCCCGTTTCCCCAAAACCCCCGTTTTTCACCCTCTGACAAAACCCCGTTTTTCACCCCAAAACCCCTTTTTCACCCCAAAACCCCCGTTTTTCCCCAAATCCCCCCTTTTTCACCCCAAAACCACTCCCTTTAACCCCCAAAACCCCCTTTTTCACCCCCAAACCACTCCCATTAACCCCAAAAACCCCCTTTTTCACCCCAAAACCCCGTTTTCACCCCAAAACCCCCGTTTTTCATGCCCAAAACCCCCTCTCTCCCCCTTCACCCAAAACCCCCGTTTTTCACCCCAAAACCCCCGTTTTTCACCCAAAACCCCCTTTTTCACCCCAAAACCACTCCCTTTAACCCAAAACCCCCCTTTTTCACCCCAAAACCCCCCTTTTTCACACCAAAACCCCCTTTTTCACCCCAAAACCCCCCTTTTTCCTCCCAAACCCCTTTACTGACCCAAAACCCCCCTTTTTCATCCCAAAACCCCCTTTTCCCCCCTTTACTGACCCCAAAACCCCCGTTTTTCACCCAAAACCCCCGTTTTTCACCCCAAAACCCCCCTTTTGCCTCCCAAACCCCTTTACTGACCCAAAACCCCCCTTTTTCACCCAAAACCCCCGTTTTTCCCCCCAAAACCCCCGTTTTTCACCCCAAAACCCCCGTTTTTCACCCCAAAACCCCATTTTTCACCCCAAAACCCCCGTTTTTCCCCTCGCTCATTATGGGATGTCCCATAGGAGATGCTGAAGGACGAGGTGCGCACGCTCACCTACCGGAACTCCCTGTTCCAAAACCCCCGTTTTTCACCCCAAAACCCCGTTTTTCACCCCAAAACCCCCCTTTTTCACCCCAAACCCCCCTTTTTCACCCAAAACCCCTTTTTCCCGCCCTTTTTCCCCCTCTCTGACCCAAAACAACTTTTTCACCCCAAACCCCCAGTTTTCCCCCCAAAACCCCCGTTTTTCCCCCCAAAACCCCCCTTTTCCCCCTCTCTGACCCAAAACCCCCCTTTTTCACCCAAAACCCCCTTTTTCCCCAAAAAAACCCCTTTTTCCCTCTCTCTGACCCAAAACCCCACTTTTTCCCCCCAAACCCCTGTTTTCCCCCCAAAACACCCCTTTTTCACCCCAAAACCCCATTTTTCACCCCAAAACCCCCTTTTCCCCCCTTTACTGACCCCAAAACCCCTGTTTTTCACCCCAAAACCCCCTTTTCCCCCTCTCTGACCCAAACCCCCCCTTTACTGACCCAAAACCCCCATTTTTCACCCCAAAACCCCCCTTTTTCACCCAAAACCCCCTTTTCCCCCCTTTACTGACCCAAAACCCCCCTTTTTCACCCAAAACCCCCGTTTTTCCCCCAAAAACCCCCTTTTCCCCCGTTTACTGACCCAAAACCCCCCTTTTCCACCCAAAACCCCCGTTTTCCCCCAAAAACCCCCTTTTCCCCCCTTTACTGACCCAAAACCCCCCTTTTTCACACCCAAACCCCCCTTTTTCACCCCAAAACCCCTGTTTTTCCTCCCAAACCCCTTTACTGACCCAAAACCCCCCTTTTTCCCCCCAAAACCCCCCTTTTTCCCCCTCTCTGACCCAAAACCCCCCTTTTTCCCCTTCTCTGACCCAAAACCCCCGTTTTTCCCCCCAAAACCTCCCTTTTTCACCCAAAATCGCCCTTTTTCCCCCCTTTTCCCCTTTACTGACCCAAAACCCCGCTTTTTCACCCCAAAACCCCCCTTTTTTCCCTCTTTTTCCCCCTGTCTGACCCAAAACCCCCCTTTTTCACCCCAAAACCCCCCTTTTTCCTGCCAAACCCCTTTACTGACCCAAAACCCCCGTTTTTCCCCCCAAAACCCCGTTTTTCACCCCAAAACCCCCCTTTTTCACCCCAAAACCCCCCTTTTTCACCCCAAACCCCCGTTTTTCACCCCAAACCCCCGTTTTTCACCCCAAAACCCCGTTTTTCACCCAAAACCCCCCTTTTTCCTCCCAAACCCCTTTACTGACCCAAAACCCCCCTTTTTCCCTCTCTCTGACCCCAAAACCCCCGTTTTTCCCCTCTCTGACCAAAACCTCCCCTTTACTGACCCAAAACCCCCGTTTTTCCCCCTCTCTGACCCAAAACCCCCCTTTTTCCCCCCAAAACCCCCGTTTTTCCCTCTCTCTGACCCAAAACCCCCGTTTTTCCCCCCAAAACCCCCCTTTTCCCCCCAGATCACGCGCCGTTACGCCGAGTTCTCCTCCGCCATCGTCAGCATCAACCAAACCTTCCCCAACGAGAGGACCCACGCGCTGCTGGGGCAGCTGCAGGTGGGGGGACCCCAAAACACCATTGGGGACCCCAAAACCCCATTGGGAACCCAAAAACCCCATTGGGGACCCCAAAACCCCATTGGGACCCCAAAACCCCATTGGGGACCCCAAAACCCCATTGGGACCCCAAAAACCCCATAGGGACCCCAAAACCCCATTGGGGACCCTAAAACCCCATTGGGGGCCCTAAAACCCCATTGGGGACCCCAAAACACCATTGGGACCCTAAAACCCCCATTGGGAACCCAAAACCCCATTGGGACCCCAAAAACCCCATTGGGGACCCCAAAACCCCATTGAGGACCCCAAAACCCCATTGGGACCCCAAAAATCCCATTGGGACCCCAAAACCCCCATTGGGACCCTAAAACCCCATTGGGGACCCCAAAAACTCCATTGGGACCCCAAAACCCCATTGGGGACCCTAAAACCCCATTGGGACCCTAAAACCCCATTGGGGACCCCAAAACCCCATTGGGACCCTAAAACCCCATTGGGACCCTAAAACCCCATTGGGACCCCAAAACCCCATTGGGACCCCAAAACCCCCATAGGGACCCTAAAATCCCATTGGGACCCTAAAACCCCATTGGGACCCCAAAACCCCATTGGGGACCCTAAAATCCCATTGGGGACCCCAAAACCCCATTGGGACCCTAAAACCCCATTGGGGACCCTAAAACCCCATAGAGACCCTAAAACCCCATTGGGGACCCTAAAACCCCATTGGGACCCCAAAAACCCCATTGGGACCCTAAAAATCCCATAGGGACCCTAAAACCCCATTGGGGACCCCAAAACCCCATTGGGACCCCAAAACCCCATTGGGGACCCCAAAAACCCCATTGGGGAACCAAAAACCCCATTGGGGACCCCAAAACCCCATTGGGGACCCCAAAAACCCCATTGGGGACCCTAAAACCCCATAGGCACCCTAAAACCCCATTGGGACCCCAAAACCCCATTGGGACCCCAAAAACCCCATTGGGACCCCAAAAACCCCATAGGGACCCCAAAAACCACATTGGGACCCTAAAACCCCATTGGGACCCCAAAAACCACATTGGGACCCTAAAACCCCATTGGGACCCCAAAAACCACATTGGGACCCTAAAACCCCATTGGGGACCCCAAAAACCCATTGGGGACCCCAAAACCCCATTGGGGACCCCAAAAACCCCATTGGAGACCCCCAAAAACCCCATAGGGACCCTAAAATCCCATTGGGGACCCTAAAACCCCATTGGGGACCCCAAAACCCCCATAGGGACCCTACAATCCCATTGGGACCCCAAAACCCCATTGGGGACCCTAAAACCCCATGGGGACCCCAAAACCCCATTGGGACCCTAAAACCCCATTGGGACCCCAAAACCCCACTGGGGACCCCAAAACCCCATTGGGACCCTAAAACCCCATTGGGACCCCAAAACCCCATTGGGGACCCCAAAACCCCATTGGGGACCCCAAAACCCCCATAGGGACCCCAAAACCTCATTGGGACCCCAAAAACCCCATGGGGGACCCCAAAACCCCATTGGGACCCCAAAACCCCATTGGGACCCCAAAAACCCCATTGGGACCCTAAAACCCCCATTGGGACCCCAAAACCCCCATAGGGACCCTAAAACCCCATTGGGACCCCAAAACACCATTGGGGACCCCAAAAACCCCATTGGGGACCCCAAAACCCCATAGGGGAACCCAAAACCTCATTGGGGACCCCAAAACCCCATTGGGACCCTAAAACCCCATTGGGGACCCCAAAACCCCATTGGGGACCCCAAAACCCCATTGGGACCCCAAAAACCCATTGGGACCCCAAAGCCCCATTGGGGACCCCAAAAACCTCATTGGGGACCCTAAAACCCCATAGGGGACCCCAAAACCCCATTGGGGACCCCAAAACCCCATTGGGACCCCAAAACCCCATAGGGGACCCCAAAACCCCATGGGGACCCCAAAACCCCATTGGGGACCCCAAAACCCCATTGGGAATCCAAAACCCCATTGGGACCCCAAAACCCCATTGGGGACCCCAAAACCCCATTGGGGACCCCAAAAACCCATTGGGGACCCCAAAAACCCCATTGGGGACCCTAAAACCCCATTGGGACCCCAAAAACCCATTGGGACCCCAAAACCCCATTGGGACCCCAAAACCCCATGGGGACCCCAAAACCCCATAGGGACCCCAAAAACCCCATTGGGACCCCAAAACCCCCATTGGGGACCCCAAAACCCCATAGGGGACCCCAAAAACCCCATTGGGGACCCCAAAACCCCATTGGGGACCCCAAAAACCCCATTGGGGACCCTAAAACTCCATAGGGACCCCAAAACCCCATTGGGACCCTAAAACCCCATTGGGACCCCAAAACCCCATTGGGACCCCAAAAACCCCATTGGAATCCCAAAACCCCATTGGGGACCCCAAAACCCCATAGGGGACCCCAAAACCCCATGGGGGACCCCAAAACCCATTTTATACCCCCCCAACCCCATTGTTTCCCCTCCCCCCATTTTGGATGCCCCCTCCCCATTGTTCCCCCCCATTGTTCCTCCCATCCCCCCCATTGCCCCCCATTCCCCCCATTGCTGCCCCCCCATTGTTGCCCCCCATTATGACCCCCCCATTTTTGCCCCTCCCATCCCCCCATTGTTGCCCCCTATCCCCCCCATTTTTGCCCCCCCTTGGTTGCCCCCCATTATGAACCCCCCCTTCCCCCTCATTGTTGCCCCCCCATCCCACCCCCATTGTTCCCCCCCATTGCTCCCCCATTGTTCCCCCATTGTCCTTCCCCCATTGTTGCCCCCCATCTCCCCCATCCCCCCCATTGTCCCCCCATCCCCCCCATTCTGACCCCCCGCCCCATTGCCCCCCCATTATTCCCCCCCATTGTTGCCCCCCCCTTGTTGCCCCCCCACCCCCCCATTGTTCCCCCATCCCCATTGTTGCCCCCCACCCCCCATTGTTGCCCCCCCCTTGTTGCCCCCCCATTGTTCCCCCATCCCCATTGTTGCCCCCCCTTCCCCCCCATTGTTGCCCCCCCATCTCCCCCATTGCCCCCCCATTCCTCCCATTGGTCCCCCCCATTGTTGCCCCCCATCCCCCCATTGCCCCCCCATTGTTCCCCTGCCCCATTGTTCCCCTGCCCCATTGCCCCCCCATTGTTCCCCCCCATTGCCCCCCCATCCCCCCCATTGTTCCCCTACCCCATTGCCCCCCTATTGCCCCCCCATTGTTGCCCCCCATCCCCCCCATTGTTCCCCTGCCCCATTGTTGCCCCCCCATTGTTCCCCTGCCCCATTGCCCCCCCATTGTTCCCCTACCCCATTGCCCCCCATTGTTGCCCCCCCATTGCCCCCCCATTGTTCCCCTGCCCCATTGTTCCCCTGCCCCATTGCCCCCCCCATTGTTGCCCCCCATCCCCCCCATTGCCCCCCCATTCCTCCCATTGGTCCCCCCCATTGTTGCCCCCCATCCCCCCATTGCCCCCCCATTGTTTCCCCCATTGCCCCCCCATTGTTACCCCCCCATTGCCCCCCCATTCCCCCCCCATTGCCCCCCATTGCCCCCCATTGTCCCCCCATTGTTCCCCTGCATTGCCCCCCATTGTTGCCCCCCCATTGCCCCCCCATTGTTCCCCTGCCCCATTGTTCCCCTGCCCCATTGCCCCCCCCATTGTTGCCCCCCATCCCCCCCATTGCCCCCCCATTGTTCCCCTGCCCCATTGTTCCCCTGCCCCATTGTTCCCCTGCCCCATTGTTCCCCTGCCCCATTGTTGCCCCCCAAGCTGGAGGTGGAGAACTTCGTCCTCCGCGTTGCCGCCGAGTTCCCGTCGCGCCGCCAGCAGCTCGTCTTCCTCATCAACAACTACGACATGATGCTGGGGGTCCTCATGGTGAGAAAAACACCCCAAAAACACCCCAAAAACGACCCCGCAGCTCGCCGGGAACCCCAAAATCGAGAAGAACGACCCCAAAATAGGGGGGGGGGTCGGGGGTTGGGGGTTTCGCCCCATTTCTTTTGACCCCCGGCTTCAGGAACGCGCCGTGGAGGAGAGCAAAGAGGTGGAAGGTTTCCAGCAGCTCCTGGCGGCGCGCACCCAGGTGGGTCCCCCCTCCGGAGTAAGAGTCCCCCCGTTTCCTCCCTCCCCCCCTCTTTTGGCTTTAGGGGTCCCCCCTTCAGTTTAAGGGTCCCCGTTTCAGTTTAGGGGTCACCGTTTGCGTTTGGGGTCCCTTTTGGCTTTAGGGGTCCCCCTTTCAGTTTAAGGGTCCCTCTGTGGCTTTAGGGGTCCCCCTTTCAGTTTAAGAGTCCCTCTTTGGCTTTAGGGGTCCCCCCTTCAGTTTAAGGGTCCCCGTTTCAGTTTAGGGGTCACCGTTTGTGTCTGGGGTCCACTTTGGTTTCAGGGGTCCCTCTTTGGCTTTAGGGGTCCCCCTTTCAGTTTAAGGGTCCCTCTTTGGCTTTAGGGGTCCCCCCTTCAGTTTAAGGGTCCTCGTTTCAGTTTAGGGGTCACCGTTTGCGGTTGGGGTCCACTTTGGTTTCAGGGGTCTCCCTTTAGCTTTAGGGGTCCCCCTTTCAGTTTAAGGGTCCCTCTTTGGCTTTAGGGGGCCCCCCTTTCAGTTTAAGGGTCCCCCTTTCACTTTAGGAGTCACCATTTGCATTCGGGGTCCCTTTTGGCTTTAGGGGTCCCCCTTTCAGTTTAAGGGTCCCCCTTTCAGTTTAGGGGTCCCCCCTTCAGTTTAAGGGCCCCCATTTCAGTTTAGAGGTCAGCATTTGCATTTGGGGTCACCATTTGGCTTTAGGGGTCCCCTTTTCAGCTTAAGTGTCCCACTTTGGCTTTAGGGGCCCCCCTTCCAGTTCCTTTGAATTTAGGGGTCCCCCGTTCCGTGTAAGGGTCCCCCTTTCAGTTTAAAGGTCCCCCTTTGATTTTAGGAGCCCCCCCTTCAGTTTAAGGGTCCCCCTTTGCATTTGGGGCCCCCCTTTCACATTAAGGCTCCCCATTTCACCTTATTGGTCCCCCATTCACTGTAAGGGTCCCCTTTGCGTTTAGGAATCCCCCTTTCACATTAAGAGTCCCCGTTTCACATTAGGGCTCCCCTTTTGCCTTTAGGAGTCCCCCTTTCACATTAAGAGCCCCCGTTTCAAATTAGGGCTCCCCCTTTGCCTTTAGGAGTCCCCCTTTCACATTAAGAGTCCCCGTTTCACATTAGGGCTCCCCCTTTGCCTTTAGGAGTCCCCCTTTCACATTAAGAGTCCCCGTTTCACATTAAGGCTCCCCTTTTGCCTTTAGGAGTCTCCCTTTCACATTAAGAGTCCCAATTTCACATTAGGGGTCCCCCTTTCACATTAAGAGTCCCCGTTTCACATTAGGGCTCCCCCTTTGCCTTTAGGAGTCCCCCTTTCACATTAAGGGTCCCCTTTCCCCATAGGAGTTCATCGAGGAGCTCCTGGCCCCCCCCTTTGGGGGCATGATCGCCTTCGTGAAGGAGGCCGAGGCCCTGCTGGAGAAGGGGCAAGGGGAGCGGCTGCGTGGGGAGGAAGGTGATGCCCCACGGATATTGGGGTCGCCCCATTGATTCCATGGGGTGATGGAAGGGGGGGGGTCCCGTGGGGATTGGGGTCGCCCCATTGATTCCATGGGGTGATTGGGGGGGGGGGGTCCCGTGGGCATTGGGGTCGCCCCATTGATTCCATGGGGTGATTGGGGGGGGGGGGTCCCATGGGCATTGGGGTCGCCCCATTGATTCCATGGGGTGATGGAAGGGGGGGGGTGTCCCGTGGGGATTGGGGTCCCCCCATTGATTCCATGGGGTGATGGAAGGGGGGGGGGGTGGCCCATGGGCATTGGGGTCGCCCCATTGATTCCGTGGGGTGATTGGGGTTCCCCCCATTGCTTCAACCCCATGGGCATTGGGCTCTGCCCCATAGAATCCATGGGGTGATGGTGATGTGGGGCAGGGGGTCCAGATCTCTGCCTCTCCTCTCTGCCCCATAGCATCCCTGTGGTGATGGCAATGTGGGGTCCTCACTGCCCCATAGCATCCCTATGGTGATGACGATGTGGGGCAGGGGTTGCTGACCCCCAACCCCCGTTGCGCCCCATAGCATCCCTATGGTGATGACGATGTGGGGTCCCCCTCACTGCCCCATAGCATCCCTATGGCGATGACGATGTGGGGTCCTCACTGCCCCATAGCATCCCTATGGTGATGACGATGTGGGGTCCCCCTCTCTGCCCCATAGCATCCCTATGGCGATGAGGATGTGGGGTCCTCACTGCCCCATAGCATCCCTATGGTGATGACGATGTGGGGTCCCCCTCTCTGCCCCATAGCATCCCTATGGCGATGGCGATGTGGGGTCCCCACTGCCCCATAGCATCCCTATGGCGATGATGATGTGGGGTCCTCACTGCCCCATAGCATCCCTATGGTGATGGCGATGTGGGGTCCCCCTCACTGCCCCATAGCATCCCTATGGTGATGACGATGTGGGGTCCCTCTGCCCCATAGCATCCCTATGGTGATGAGGATGTGGGGTCCCTCTGCCCCATAGCATCCCTATGGCGATGGTGATGTGGGGTCCCCACTGCCCCATAGCATCCCTATGGCGATGACGATGTGGGGTCCTCTCTGCCCCATAGCATCCCTATGGCGATGGCGATGTGGGGCAGGGGGTGCTGACCCCCAATCCCCGTTGCACCCCATAGCATCCCTGTGGTGATGAGGATGTGGGGCCCTCACTGCCCCATAGCATCCCTATGGCGATGACGATGTGGGGTCCCCCTCTCTGCCCCATAGCATCCCTATGGCGATGACGATGTGGGGTCCCCACTGCCCCATAGCATCCCTATGGCGATGACGATGTGGGGCAGGAGGCCCTGACCCCCAACCCCCGTTGTGCCCCATAGCATCCCTATGGTGATGAGGATGTGGGGTCCTCACTGCCCCATAGCATCCCTATGGCGATGAGGATGTGGGGTCCCTCTGCCCCATAGCATCCCTATGGCGATGACGATGTGGGGTCCTCACTGCCCCATAGCATCCCTATGGCGATGACGATGTGGGGTCCTCACTGCCCCATAGCATCCCTATGGCGATGAGGATGTGGGGTCCCCCTCACTGCCCCATAGCATCCCTATGATGATGACGATGTGGGGTCCTCACTGCCCCATAGCATCCCTATGGCGATGAGGATGTGGGGCAGGGGGTGCTGACCCCCAACCCCCGTTGCGCCCCATAGCATCCCTATGGCGATGAGGATGTGGGGTCCCCACTGCCCCATAGCATCCCTATGGCGATGAGGATGTGGGGCAGGGGTTGCTGACCCCCAACCCCCGTTGTGCCCCATAGCATCCCTATGGCGATGATGATGTGGGGTCCCCCTCACTGCCCCATAGCATCCCTATGGTGATGAGGATGTGGGGTCCCCCTCTCTGCCCCATAGCATCCCTATGGCGATGAGGATGTGGGGCAGGGGGTGCTGACCCCCAACCCCCGTTGCGCCCCATAGCATCCCTATGGTGATGACGATGTGGGGTCCCCCTCTCTGCCCCATAGCATCCCTATGGCGATGAGGATGTGGGGCAGGAGGCCCTGACCCCCAACCCCCGTTGCGCCCCATAGCATCCCTATGGTGATGACGATGTGGGGTCCTCACTGCCCCATAGCATCCCTATGGCGATGAGGATGCGGGGCAGGGGGTGCTGACCCCCATCCCCCGTTGCGCCCCATAGCATCCCTATGGCGATGAGGATGTGGGGCAGGGGGTGCTGACCCCCAACCCCCGTTGCGCCCCATAGCATCCCTATGGCGATGAGGATGTGGGGTCCTCACTGCCCCATAGCATCCCTATGGCGATGATGATGTGGGGTCCTCACTGCCCCATAGCATCCCTATGGCGATGAGGATGTGGGGTCCTCACTGCCCCATAGCATCCCTATGGCGATGAGGATGTGGGGTCCTCACTGCCCCATAGCATCCCTATGGCGATGAGGATGTGGGGCAGGGGATCCTGACCTCTGTCTCTCCGCTCTGCCCCATAGCATCCCTGTGGTGATGAGGATGTAGGGCAGGGGGCCCTGACCCCCATCCCCCCGTTGCGCCCCATAGCATCCCTATGGTGATGACGATGTGGGGTCCTCACTGCCCCATAGCATCCCTATGGCGATGACGATGTGGGGTCCCCCTCTCTGCCCCATAGCATCCCTATGGCGATGGCGATGTGGGGTCCCCCTCTCTGCCCCATAGCATCCCTATGGCGATGAGGATGTGGGGCAGGGGGTGCTGACCCCCAACCCCCGTTGCGCCCCATAGCATCCCTATGGTGATGACGATGCGGGGTCCCCCTCACTGCCCCATAGCATCCCTATGGTGATGAGGATGTGGGGTCCCCCTCTCTGCCCCATAGCATCCCTATGGTGATGGCGATGTGGGGCAGGGGGCGCTGACCCCCAACCCCCGTTGCGCCCCATAGGCCGCGTGACGCAGGTGGCGCGGGGCTTCGCGGGGGGCTGGCGGGGGGCGGTGGAGGCGCTGAGCAGGGACGTGATGAGTTCCTGCAGCAACTTCCGAACCGGCACCGGCATCATCCAGGTGGGGGGAGGGGCGGGGGGGGATGGGGGGGGGAGGGGAACCCATTGGGGTCAATGGGGGAAGGGGATCCAGATGGGGTCAATGGGGGGAGGGGGGATCCCATTGGGGTCAATGGGGGGTGGGGGGAACCCGATGGGGTCAGTGGAGGGGGGGGGGGGGGGGGGTCAATGGGGGGGGGAACCCATTGGGGTCAATGGGGGAGGAGGGGGAGGGGATCACATTGGGGTCAATGGGGGAGGAGGGGAACCCGAGGGGGTCAATGGGGGGAGGGGGGGGCGGGGGGGTCAATGGGGGGTCAATGGGGGGGGGGTGGGGCGGGGAACCCATTGGGGTCAATGGGGGAGGGGGGGGGAGTGGGGGGTCATCCCATTGGGATCAATGGGGGAGGGGGGAATCCCATTGGGGTCAATGAGGGGGTCAATGGGGGAGGGGGGGAGGGGATCCCATTGGGGTCAATGGGAGGAGGGGGGGGGGATGGTAGGGGGTCAGTGGGGGGGAGGGGATCCCATTGGGGTCAATGGGGGGGGAGGGGAACCCGAGGGGGTCAATGGGGGGGGCGGGGTGGTCAATGGAGGGGGAGGGGATCCCATTGGGGTCAATGGGGGGAAGGGGGGGAGGGGATCCCATTGGGGTCAATGGGGGGAGGGGGGGGAGGGGATCCCATTGGGGTCAATGGGGGAGGGGGGGGAGGGGATCCCATTGGGGTCAATGGGGGGTGGGGGGAACCCGATGGGGTCAGTGGGGGAGGGGGGGGGGTGGGGGGGGTCAATGGGGGAGGGGGGAACCCATTGGGGTCAATGGGGGGAGGGGGGATCCCATTATGGTTAATGGGGGGAGGGGGGGGAGGGGATCACATTGGGGTCAATGGGGAGGACGGGAGATCACATTGGGGTCAATGGGGGGAGGGGGGGATTCCGATGAGGTCAATGGGGGGAGGGGAGATCCCATTGGGGTCAATGGGGGGGGGGGGGGGCTGAGGACCCCAGATTGGATCCCATTGGTCAATGGGGGATCAATGGGGGATCACCCATTGGGGTCAATGGGGGGAGGGGGTGGGGTCATTGGTCCCAATGGGGGTTGAGGACCCCATTGGGGTCTCTATGGGGATGCAGGGGGATCCCATTGGGGTCAATGGGGCTTGAGGGGGACCCCAGGGGATCCCATTGGTCCCAATGGGGGTCTGAGGACCCCAGATTGGGGTCAATGGGGGAGGGGGTGGGAGTGGGGATCCCAGGTCCCAATGGGGGTCCATTTGGTCCCAATGGGGTTCGAGGGGATCCCAGATTGGGATCCCATTGGGATCCCATTGGTCAATGGGGGTGAGGACCCCCAGATTGGGGTCCCAATGGGGGGGGTCCCATTGGGGGGATGCAGCTCCCTCATTGGATCCCATTGGGACCAATGGGGCTGAGGACCCATGATTCCATTGGTCCCGATGAGGGGATCCCATTGGGGTCAATTGGAGAGGGGAGGGGACCCTGATGGGGTCAGTCCCATTGGGGGATCAATGGGGGGGTTCGGGGGGATCCCATTGGTCAATGGGGGTTGATTGGATCCCATTGGGATCAATGGGGGCTGAGGGGGTTGAGGCGCGGATCCCATTGGTCTCTATGGGGATGCAGCTTGGATCCCTCATTGGATCCCATTGGGATCAATGGGGCTGAGGACCCCAGATTGGATCCCATTGGTCCCAATGGGGGGATCCCATTGGGATCAATGGGGCTGAGGACCCCAGATTGGATCCCATTGGTCCCAATGGGGGTTCAAGGACCCCAGATTGGATCCCATTGGTCCCAATGGGGTTGAGGAGGGGGTCCCAGGGGGAGGACCCCAGATTGGATCCCATTGGTCCCAATGGGGTTTGAGGACCCCAGATTGGATCCCATTGGTCCCAATGGGGTTTGAGGACCCCAGATTGGATCCCATTGGTCTCTATGGGGACGCAGCTCCCTCATTGGACCCCATTGGTCCCAATGGGGTTCAAGGACCCCAGATTGGATCCCATTGGTCCCAATGGGGGTTGAGGACCCCAGATTGGATCCCATTGGTCCCAATGGGGGTTGAGGACCCCAGATTGGATCCCATTGGTCCCAATGGGGGTCGAGGACCCCAGATTGGATCCCATTGGTCCCAATGGGGGTCGAGGACCCCAGATTGGATCCCATTGGTCCCAATGGGGTTCAAGGACCCCAGATTGGATCCCATTGGTCCCAATGGGGGTTGAGGACCCCAGATTGGATCCCATTGGTCCCAATGGGGGTTGAGGACCCCAGATTGGATCCCATTGGTCCCAATGGGGGTTGAGGACCCCAGATTGGATCCCATTGGTCTCTATGGGGATGCAGCTCCCTCATTGGATCCCATTGGGATCAATGGGGCTGAGGACCCCAGATTGGATCCCATTGGTCCCAATGGGGGTCGAGGACCCCAGATTGGATCCCATTGGTCTCTATGGGGACGCAGCTCCCTCATTGGATCCCATTGGGATCAATGGGGCTGAGGACCCCAGATTGGATCCCATTGGTCCCAATGGGGGTCGAGGACCCCAGATTGGATCCCATTGGTCCCAATGGGGTTCAAGGACCCCAGATTGGATCCCATTGGTCCCAATGGGGGTCGAGGACCCCAGATTGGATCCCATTGGTCTCTATGGGGATGCAGCTCCCTCATTGGATCCCATTGGTCCCAATGGGGTTCGAGGACCCCAGATTGGATCCCATTGGGGTCAATGGGGGGAGGGGGTGGGAGAGGGGATCCCATTGGTCCCAATGGGGGTCGAGGACCCCAGATTGGATCCCATTGGGATCAATGGGGCTGAGGACCCCAGATTGGATCCCATTGGTCCCAATGGGGGTTGAGGACCCCAGATTGGATCCCATTGGTCCCAATGGGGCTGAGGACCCCAGATTGGATCCCATTGGTCCCAATGGGGGTTGAGGACCCCAGATTGGATCCCATTGGGATCAATGGGGGGAGGGGGTGGGGGAGGGGATCCCATTGGTCCCAATGGGGGTTGAGGACCCCAGATTGGATCCCATTGGTCTCTATGGGGACGCAGCTCCCTCATTGGATCCCATTGGTCCCAATGGGGTTCGAGGACCCCAGATTGGATCCCATTGGTCCCAATGGGGTTCAAGGACCCCAGATTGGATCCCATTGGTCCCAATGGGGTTCGAGGACCCCAGATTGGATCCCATTGGTCCCAATGGGGGCTGAGGACCCCAGATTGGATCCCATTGGTCCCAATGGGGGTTGAGGACCCCAGATTGGATCCCATTGGTCCCAATGGGGGTCGAGGACCCCAGATTGGATCCCATTGGGATCAATGGGGCTGAGGACCCCAGATTGGATCCCATTGGTCTCTATGGGGACGCAGCTCCCTCATTGGATCCCATTGGTCCCAATGGGGGTCGAGGACCCCAGATTGGATCCCATTGGTCCCAATGGGGTTCAAGGACCCCAGATTGGATCCCATTGGTCTCTATGGGGACGCAGCTCCCTCATTGGATCCCATTGGTCCCAATGGGGGTTGAGGACCCCAGATTGGATCCCATTGGTCCCAATGGGGGTTGAGGACCCCAGATTGGATCCCATTGGGATCAATGGGGCTGAGGACCCCAGATTGGATCCCATTGGTCCCAATGGGGGTCGAGGACCCCAGATTGGATCCCATTGGTCCCAATGGGGGTCGAGGACCCCAGATTGGATCCCATTGGTCCCAATGGGGTTTGAGGACCCCAGATTGGATCCCATTGGTCTCTATGGGGACGCAGCTCCCTCATTGGATCCCATTGGGATCAATGGGGTTCGAGGACCCCAGATTGGATCCCATTGGGGTCAATGGGGGGAGGGGGTGGGAGAGGGGATCCCATTGGTCCCAATGGGGGTTGAGGACCCCTCCCTGTACCCCATTGCCCCCAATGATGTTTTCCATACCCTCTGCCCCCCATGCTCTAGGGCGCGCTGACGCAGCTCATCCAGTACTACCACCGCTTCCAGAAGGTTCTGGCCCAGCCCCCGCTGCGCTCCCTGCCCGCCCGCGCCGAGCTCCTCAACCTCCATCACCTCATGGTGGAGCTCAAGAAGCACAAACCCAACTTCTGAGCCACGGCCGGACCCACTGAAACGGGGGGGCCCATTGATACCTATGGGGTCCCATTGAAACACATGGGGGTTCCCATTGGACCCTATGGGGGTTCCCATTGAAACCTATGGGGACCCATTGATACCTATGGGGGACCCATTGATACCTATGGGGGCCATTGGAACACATGGGGGGCCATTGGAACACATGGGGGACCATTGGAACCTATGGGGGACCCATTGAAATCTATGGGGGCCCATTGGAATACATGGGGGGCCATTGGAACACATGGGGACCCATTGAAATCTATGGGGGGCCATTGATACCTATGGGGACCCATTGATACCTATGGGGGCCATTGGAACCTATGGGGGGCCATTGAAATACATGGGGACCCATTGATACCTATGGGGGTCCCCATTGAAACCTATGGGGACCCATTGAAACCTATGGGGGGCCCATTGAAACACATGGGGGCCATTGAAATCTATGGGGACCCATTGAAACGCATGGGGGGCCCACTGAAACACATGGGGGGGGCATTGAAATCTATGGGGTCCCTGTTGTCCCTATGGGGCTCCCCATTGAAACCTATGGGGTCCCTGTTGTCCCTATGGGGCTCCCCATTGAAACCTATGGGGGCCCCATTGATATCCCTATGGGGGGGTCCCATTGAAATCTATGGGGACCCATTGAAACCTATGGGGGGCCATTGAAACACATAGGGGGCCATTGATACCTATGGGGACCCATTGAAACCTATGGGGACCCATTGAAACACATGGGGGGCCATTGAAATACATGGGGCCCCATTGAAACCTATGGGGCTCCCCATTGAAACCTATGGGGTCCCTGTTGTCCCTATAGAGCCCCATTGACCCACGGCGGGCCCCATTGATGTCCCTATGGGGGTCCCCATTGAAACCTATGGGGACCCATTGAAACCTATGGGGGCCCCATTGAAACCTATGGGGGTTCCCATTGAAACCTATGGGGGGCCATTGAAACCTATGGGGACCCATTGACCCACAGCGGGCCCCATTGATGTCCCTATGGGACTCCCCATTGAAACCTATGGGGGGCCATTGGAACCTATGGGGTCCCATTGGAACCTATGGGGGACCCATTGGAATACATGGGGTCCCATTGATACCTATGGGGACCCATTGATACCTATGGGGGCCATTGATACCTATGGGGAGCCATTGATACCTGTGGGGTCCCATTGATACCTATGGGGACCCATTGATACCTATGGGGGCCATTGATACCTATGGGGAGCCATTGATACCTGTGGGGTCCCATTGATACCTATGGGGAGCCATTGATACCTATGGGGAGCCATTGATACCTATGGGGGTTCCCATTGATACCTATGGGGGCCATTGATACCTATGGGGGTCCCATTGATACCTATGGGGACCCATTGATACCTATGGGGGCCATTGATACCTATGGGGACCCATTGATACCTATGGGGGTTCCCATTGATACCTATGGGGGCCATTGATACCTATGGGGACCCATTGATACCTATGGGGAGCCATTGATGTCCCTATGGGGGCCCCATTGATACGTATGGGGAGCCATTGATACCTATGGGGACCCATTGAAATCTATGGGGGACCCATTGGAACACATGGGGGGCCATTGAAACCTATGGGGCCCCACTGATGTCCCTATGGGGGACCCATTGAAACCTATGGGGGGCCACTGAAACCTATGGGGACCCATTGAAACCTATGGGGACCCATTGAAATCTATGGGGGACCCATTGAAACACATGGGGGGCCATTGAAACACATGGGGGGCCCATTGGAATACATGGGGGGCCATTGGAATACATGGGGGAGGCATTGAAATCTATGGGGTCCCTGTTGTCCCTATAGAGCCCCATTGACCCATGGCGGGCCCCATTGATGTCCCTATGGGGCTCCCCATTGGAACCTATGGGGCCCCATTGAAACCTATGGGGGGCCATTGAAACACATGGGGACCCATTGAAATCTATGGGGGGCCATTGATACCTATGGGGACCCATTGAAACCTATGGGGACCCATTGGAACCTATGGGGGCCCATTGAAACCTATGGGGGCCCCATTGACCCACAGTGGGCCCCATTGATGTCCCCTATGGGGGTCCCCATTGGACCCTATGGGGGGCCATTGAAACCTATGGGGGGCCCCATTGAAATCTATGGGGGGCCATTGAAATACATGGGGGGCCCATTGAAATCTATGGGGTCCCTGTTGTCCCTATAGAGCCCCATTGACCCACGGCGGGCCCCATTGAAACCTATGGGGGTCCCATTGAAACACATAGGGGACCCATTGAAATCTATGGGGGCCCTGTTGTCCCTATGGGGCTCCCCATTGAAACCTATGGGGGGCCACTGAAACCTATGGGGACCCATTGAAATCTAGGGGGACCCATTGAAACCTATGGGGACCCATTGAAACACATGGGGGGCCATTGGAACACATGGGGGGCCCATTGGAATACATGGGGGGGCATTGGAACACATGGGGGACCCATTGAAACCTATGGGGGGCCATTGAAACACATGGGGACCCATTGAAACCTATGGGGGTCCCCATTGACCCACAGCAGGCCCCACTGATGTCCCTATGGGGCTCCCCATTGACCCACGGCGGGCCCCATTGAAACCTATGGGGTCCCCATTGGACCCCATGCAGGCCCCATTGAAACCTATGGGGGTCCCCATTGAAACCTATTGGGGCCCCATTGAAACCTATGGGGGTCCCCAGTGGCCCTGTGGGGTCCCCATTGATGTCCCTTTGGGGCCCCATTGACCCTATGGGTGTCCCTATGGGTGCCCCCATTGTCCCCATGGATGCCCCCTTTACCCCACCTCCAGCCCCACTTTCCCCATCCCTGCACATGGATAAAGGCTTCTGGGTACCACAGGACCCCCAAGTGATGCTTTATTGGGGGGGGGGGGTGTCCCCCCCTTTGGGTCAGGGCAGAAGGTGCTGCCCCATTGATTCTATGGGGTGGGGTGGGGGGGGGGCTTGCTTGTGGGGGGAACTGGGGGGCACCCCCCCACACCATGTCCCATATCCCATGGGGCCATACCCCCCCCCCGGCCCCATAGCATCTCTCTGTTACCATAGCAACGCCTTTGGGACCCTCCCCAGCCCCATAGCAATGCCTTTGGGACCACCCTGGCCCCATAGCAACGCCTTTGGGACCCCCCCCCAGCCCCATAGCATCTCTCTGTTACCATAGCAACGCCTTTGGGACCCTCCCCAGCCCCATAGCAACGCCTTTGGGACCCCCCCCCAGCCCCATAGCAACGCCTCTGGGACCACCCTGGCCCCATAGCATCTCTCTGTTACCATAGCAACGCCTTTGGGACCCTCCCCGGCCCCATAGCAATGCCTTTGGGACCCCCCCCCGCCCCATAGCAACGCCTCTGGGACCACCCTGGCCCCACAGCATCACATTTGGGCCCCCCCCAGCCCAATAGCATCACCTTTGCCCCCCCCTCCAGCCCCATAGCAACGCCTTTGGGACCCCTCCGCCCCATAGCATCACCTTTGGCCCCCCCCCCCAGCCCCATAGCAACGCCTTTGGGACCACCCTGGCCCCATAGCAACGCCTTTGGGACCACCCTGGCCCCATAGCATCACCTTTGGGACCCCCCCCCAGCCCCATAGCATCGCCTTTGGGACCCTCCCCAGCCCCATAGCAACGCCTTTGGGCCCCCCCCCCAGCCCCATAGCATCACCTTTGGGACCCTTCCGACCCATAGCAACGCCTCTGGGACCACCCTGGCCCCATAGCATCACCTTTGGGACCCCCCCCCAGCCCCATAGCAACGCCTTTGGGACCACCCTGGCCCCATAGCAACGCCTTTGGGACCCCCCCAGCCCCATAGCATCACCTTTGGGACCACGCTGGCCCCATAGCAACGCCTTTGGGCCCCCCCCCAGCCCCATAGCAACGCCTCTGGGACCACCCTGGCCCCATAGCATCACCTTTGGGACCCCCCCCAGCCCCATAGCATCACCTTTGGGCCCCCCCCAGCCCCATAGCATCACCTTTGCCCCCCCCACCCCCCACCCCACCCCATAGCATCACCTTTGGGTCCCACAGCATCACCTTTGTGCCCCCCTCAGCATCCCCCCAGTGTTTTTACTGGGGGGACCCCAAGGGGGGGGAGGAGGGGGGGAGGTTGTGGGGCGCTATGGGGCAGCCCCATAGAACAACCCCCCCCCTACTTCTGCTCCTTGGTGGGGGCGTAGTAGAGCTCCAGGGGCTTGCTGACCTTCCAGTACTTCTCATTGACCAGCTCCAGCGTGAGGGATCCATTGAGGGTCTATGGGGCAGGAGGACACGGAGCTGTGGGGCCAGCCCCATAGACCCTAGAGCCTGCCCCACTAACAAGGGGGTCGCTATGGGGCTGGGGCAGGAGGACACAGAGCTGTGGGGCCAGCCCCATAGACCCTAGAGCCCGCCCCACCAACAAGGGGGTCGCTATGGGGCTGGGGCAGGAGGACACAGAGCTGTGGGGCCAGCCCCATAGACACTCTGGGCCCTAGAGACCCCAAGGGGGATCGCTATGGGGCTGGGGCAGGAGGACACAGAGCTGTGGGGCCAGCCCCATAGATCCTATTGGCTCTAGAGCCCCCAAGGGGGTTGCTATGGGGCTGGGGCAGGAGGACACAGAGCTGTGGGGCGAGCCCCATACAACCTATGGGTCCTAGAGCAGCCAAGGGGGTCGCTATGGGGCTGGGGCAGGAGGACACAGAGCTATGGGGTGAGCCCCATAGAACCTATGGGCTCTAGAGACCCCAAGGGGGATCGCTATGGGGCTGGGGCAGGAGGACACAGAGCTGTGGGGCGAGCCCCATACAACCTATGGGTCCTAGAGCAGCCAAGGGGGTCGCTATGGGGCTGGGGCAGGAGGACACAGAGCTGTGGGGTGAGCCCCATAGATCCTATTGGCTCTAGAGCCCCCAAGGGGGCTGCTATGGGGCTGGGGCAGGAGGACACAGAGCTGTGGGGCCAGCCCCATAGACCCTAGAGCCTGCCCCACCAGCAAGGGGATCGCTATGGGGCTGGGGCAGGAGGACACAGAGCTGTGGGGCCAGCCCCATACAACCTATGGGTCCTAGAGCAGCCAAGGGGGTCACTATGGGGCTGGGGCAGGAGGACACAGAGCTGTGGGGCCAGCCCCATAGATCCTAGAGCCCGCCCCACCAGCAAGGGGATCGCTATGGGGCTGGGGCAGGAGGCCCCAAAGCGAGCTATGGGGCTCACCCCATAGACCAATTTGGGGTGGCTATGGGGCTCGAGACAGGGAGCCCCAGAACAAGCTATGGGGCTCACCCCATTGACCAAAGTGGGGTGGCTATGGGGCAGTAGGCCCCAGAACGAGCTATGGGGCTCACCCCATAGAGCAAAGGGGATATGTGGGGCACCCCATAGAGCAGAGGGGATATGTGGGGCACCCCATAGAGCAAAGGGGATATGTGGGGCACCCCATAGACCAAGGTGGGGTGGCTATGGGGCTCACCCCATAGAGCAGAGGTGATGTGTGGGGCTCACCCCATAGAGCAGAGGGGATGTGTGGGGCACCCCATAGAGCAGAGGTGATGTGTGGGGCTCACCCCATAGAGCAGAGGTGATGTGTGGGGTGTGATCTATGGGTCTGCGCGTACCGTGAAGGCGCCGGCGGGCGTGGGGATGTAGATGGTGTACTGCTTCTCGCTGACGTGGGGCAGGGAGGCCCCGCCCCCCGGCGGAGCCCCGCCCCCCGCGCTCTCCTCTAGGGCGATGCGCAGCGCCAGGTACTTGGAGAGGTGATCAACCGTGGCGTTGGAGGTGGTCTTCACGTAACTGGGGGGAGGGGAGGGGAGAGGGGGTGAGGGGGGAGGGGGAGGGGAATGGGGGAGGGGAATGGGGGAGGGGGGAGGAAGAGAAAGAGGAAAAGGGAAGAGAAAGAGAAAGGGGAAGGGAAGAGGATGAGGAAGAAGAAGAGAAAGAAGAAGAGGAAGAGGAAGAGGAAGAGGAAGAAGAAGGGAAGAGGGAAGAGGAAGGAGAAGAGAAAGAAGAGGAAGAGGAAGAAGAAGGGAAGGGGAAGAGGAAAGGGAAGAGGATGAGAAAAGAATGGGAAGAGGAAGAGAAGAGAATGAGGAAGAGGAAGGGGAAGGGAAGGGAAGAGGAAGAGGAAGGGGAAGGGGAAGAGAAAGAGAAAGGGGAAGGGGAAGAGGAAGGGGAAGTGGAAGGGGAAGAGGAAGAGGAAGGAGAAGAGAAAGAAGAAGAGGAAGAGGAAGAGGAAGAGGAAGAGGAAGAAGAAGGGAAGGGGAAGAGGAAGGAGAAGAGAAAGAAGAGGAAGAGGAAGAGGATGAGAAAAGAATGGGAAGAGGAAGAGAAGAGGATGAGGAAGAGGAAGGGGAAGGGAAGGGAAGAGGAAGGGGAAGGGGAAGAGGAAGAGGAAAAGAAGGGGGAAGAGGAAGGGAAGGGGGAAGAGGAAGATGCAGAGAAAGAGGAAGGGGAAGAGGAAGAACAAGAGAAAGAGAAAGGGGGAAGAGGAAGAGGAAGAGGAAGAAGAAGAGGAAGGGGAAGAGAAAAGGAAGGGGAAGGGGAAGAGGAAGGGGAAGAGGAAGGGGAAGAGGAAGAGGAAGGGGGAGAGGAAGGGGAAGAGGAAGAGGAAGGGAAGGGGAAGGGGGAAGAGGAAGGAGAAGAGAAAGAAGAAGAGGAAGAGGAAGAGAAAGAGAAAGAGGAAGAGGAAGGGAAGAGGATGAGAAAAGAATGGGAAGAGAAAGAGAAGAGGATGAGGAAGAGGAAGGGGAAGAGGAAGGGAAGAGAAAGAGAAAGGGGAAGGGGAAGAGGAAGGGGAAGGGGAAGGGGAAGAGGAAGGAGAAGAGAAAGAAGAAGAGGAAGAGGAAGAGGAAGAGGAAGAGGAAGAGGAAGAGGAAGAGGAAGGGAAGGGGAAGAGGAAGGAGAAGAGAAAGAAGAGGAAGAGGAAGAGGAAGAGGAAGAGGAAGAGAAGGGGAAGAGGAAGGAGAAGAGAAAGAAGAAGAGGAAGAGGAAGAGGAAGAGGAAGAGGAAGAGGAAGGGAAGGGGAAGAGGAAGGAGAAGAGAAAGAAGAGGAAGAGGATGAGAAAAGAATGGGAAGAGGAAGAGAAGAGGATGAGGAAGAGGAAGGGGAAGGGAAGGGAAGAGGAAGGGGAAGGGGAAGAGGAAGAGGAAAAGAAGGGGAAGAGGAAGGGAAGGGGGAAGAGGAAGATGCAGAGAAAGAGGAAGGGGAAGAGGAAGAACAAGAGAAAGAGAAAGGGGGAAGAGGAAGAGGAAGAGGAAGAAGAAGAGGAAGGGGAAGAGAAAAGGAAGGGGAAGGGGAAGAGGAAGGGGAAGAGGAAGGGGAAAAGGAAGAGAAAGGAAGGGGAAGAGGAAGGGAAGAGGAAGGGAAAGGAAGGAAAGGGAAAAGGGAAGGGGAAGAGGAAGGAATGAGGAAGGGGAAGAGGAAGAGGAAGGGAAAGGAAGGAAAGGGAAAAGGGAAGAGGAAGGAATGAGGAAGGGGGAAAAGGAAGAGAAAGAGGAAGGGGAAGAGGAAGGGAAGAGGAAGGGAAAGGAAGGAAAGGGAAAAGGGAAGGGGAAGAGGAAGGAATGGGGAAGAGGAAGAGGAAGGGGAAGGAAGGAAAGGGAAAAGGGAAGGGGAAGAGGAAGGAATGAGGAAGAGGAAGGGGAAGGGGAAGAGGAAGAGGAAAAGGAAGAGGAAGGGGAAGAGAAGAGGAAGATGCAGGAGAAGAGGAAGATGCAGAGGAAGAGGAAGGGAAAGGAAGGAAAGGGAAAAGGGAAGGGGGAAGAGGAAGGAATGAGGAAGGGGAAGAGAAAGAGAATGGGGAAGAGAAAGAGGAAAAGAAAGAGAAAGGGGAAGAGGAAGAGGCAGAGGAAGAGGACGAGGATGAGGAAGAGGAAGGGGAAGAGGAAGGGGAAGAGAAGAAGAAGATGCAGAGAAAGAGGAAGGGAAAGGAAGGAAAGGGAAAAGGGAAGGGGAAGAGGAAGGGAAGGGGGAAGAGGAAGGGGAAGAAGAATGGGAAGAGGAATGGGAAGAGGAGGGGAAGAGGAAGAGGAACGGGAAGAGGAAGGGGAAGAGGAAGGGAAAGGAAGGAAAGGGAAAAGGGAAGGGGGAAGAGGAAGAGAAAGGGGAAGAGGAAGGGGAAGAGGAACGGGAAGAGGAAGGGGAAGAGGAAGGGGAAGAGGAAGAGGCAGAGGACGGGGAAGGGAAAGAGGAAGAGGAAGAGAAGAGGAAGAGGAAAGGGAAGAGGAAGGGGAAGAGGAAGAAGGAAGATGCAAAGGGAGAGAAGAGGAAGAGGAAGAGGAGAAGCGGAAAAGGAAGAGAAAGAGGAAGAGGAAGTGGGAAAGGAAGAGGAAGGGGAAGAGGAAGAGGAAGAGGAAAAGGAAGAGGAAAAGGAAGAGGAAGTGGAAAAGGAAGAGGAAGAGGAAGGGGAAGAGGAAGAGGAAAAGGAAGAGAAAGAGAAAGAGGAAGAGGAAAAGGAAGAGGAAAAGGAAAAGGGAAGAGGAAGCGGAAGGGGAAAAGGAAGAGGAAGAGGAAGGGGAAGAGGGAAAGGAAGAGAAAGAGGAAGAGGAAAAGGAAGAGAAAGAGGAAAAGGAAGTGGGAAAGGAAGAGAAAGAGGAAGAGGAAAAGGAAGAGGAAAAGGAAGAGGAAAAGGAAAAGGAAGAGAAGAGGAAGAGGAAAAGGAAGAGGAAGAGGAAAAGGAAGAGGAAGAGGAAAAGGAAGAGGAAAAGGAAGAGAAGGAGGAAGAGGAAAAGGAAGCGGAAGAGGAAAAGGAAGAGGAAGAGGAAGAGAAAGAGAAAGGGGAAGAGGAAGAGGAAAAGGAAAAGGAAGAGGAAGCGGAAAAGGAAGAGAAAGAGGAAGAGGAAGGGAAGGGGAAGAGGAAAAGGAAGACGAAGAGGAAGAGGAAAAGGAAGAGGAAGAGGAAAAGGAAGAGAAAGAGGAAAAGGAAGAGGAAGTGGGAAAGGAAGAGGAAGAGGAAGAGGAAAAGGAAGAGGAAAAGGAAAAGAAAGAGGAAGATGCAGAGGAAGAGGAAAAGGAAAAGGAAGAGGAAGATGCAGAGAAAGAGGAAAAGGAAGAGGAAGAGGAAAAGGAAGAGGAAGTGGGAAAGGAAGAGAAAGAGGAAAAGGAAGGGGAAAAGGAAGAGGAAGATGCAGAGAAAGAGGAAAAGGAAGAGGAAGAGGAAGAGGAAAAGATGCAGAGAAAGAGGAAATGGAAGAGGAAAAGGAAGAGGAAGTGGGAAAGGAAGCGGAAGCGGAAGCGGAAGAGGAAGCGGCAGGTTCTCTGACCGCGTCTGGCTGTAATCCCCCTTGTCCACCAGGAGGGGGTGCGCTCTGAACACCAGCTCGATCTCAGCGGCTCCAGGCTCCAGAGCGGGCTCAGGGCTTCCTCTTCCTCCTCCTCCTCCTCCTCCTCCTCCTCCTCCTCCTCCATCGGGGCCCGTTTCGGGTTCGGAGTCATCCGAAGCTCGGGAACGTTTGCGGCTGGGTCCGGGATCGGGATCGGGATCGGGATTGGGATCGGGAAGGGGCAGGAGAGGGGGGGGAGCAGCCTCGGTACCGCTGAGGTGGGAACGGGAGTCGCAGTTGTCCTCCCCCCCGCTGCAAGTGGTGGGGTCCGACTCGTGGGGGGGCTTGCGGACGCGTTGGGCTCTGCAATGGGGAGATGGGGGGGTTATTGTGGGGTGGGGGGGTTATTATGGGGTGTTTGGGGTTATTATGGGGTGTTATTATGGGGTGTTTGGGGTTATTATGGGGGGTTATGGGGGTTATTATGGGGGGTTATGGGGGTTATTATGGGGGGTTATGGGGTGGGAACGGGAGTCGCAGTTGTCCTCCCCCCCGCTGCAAGTGGTGGGGTCCGACTCGTGGGGGGGCTTGCGGACGCGTTGGGCTCTGCAATGGGGAGAATGGGGGGGTTATTATGGGATGGGGGGGTTATTATGGGGGGTTTGGGGTTATTATGGGGTGTTTGGGGTTATTATGGGGGGTTATGGGGGTTATTATGGGGTGTTTGGGGTTATTATGGGGGTTATGGGGTATTATGGGGTGTTTGGGGTTATTATGGGGTGGGGGGGTTATTATGGGGTGTTTGGGGTTATTATGGGGTGGGGGGGTTATTATGGGGTGTTTGGGGTTATTATGGGGG